CGCCCGCCGGCCGCTCCTTCGTCGAATCCGCCGGCCGCACCTTTCTCAAGCCCACACGCCTCCACTCACTCAGCCCACCATGTGTTTCGTTGTGAAAGCGAAACTACTTTGTTTGGTCTTCCAAAAGAGGACACAAACACATAAATACATTTCATTACACCAAATACACAAAATAATGCTCTTTTTAGCAACATCATATGACCCCTTTAAGGTTAGGATTATGGTTAAGGGTTGGGTTTCATGGGGTCTTAATTATCACTATTTGACTAGCATTATTAGATCAAGAGACCTGCAGTTGTTGCTAGTGTTTAACTTGTATATGTAACTGGATCTTGCAGGCTAACAATTATTTAGTGTGTTATGGCAACAAGTGAACTCTCTTTATAATGTGGTGACAAAGCCAAGCTTCACACAGACTATATTATAAATCTACATTTAACTTCAAAAGATCTGGTCTTCAAGAGCATCCGAAATAGAATAGTTTGCATAGATGGATCCTCTATGCACCCAAGCCTGCTCAGATCCTGTTTCACGGTTGGTTTATCCAGAGAGGAAATTTGCCATAGACAGTCTATTTTGCAGAGGGAGTATGTGTGTGATAACACTAGGAGATGAATTATAGCAGGAGAAACACAGCAGAAGGGAGGGAGACAAAGAGGTGGGCTGAAAAAAATAAGGAATTAGAAGAACTGAGCAAGTTCAAACATGTAGGAGAAAAACTTTCAAAAATGTGGCCTGTTTCTGGTATTCGGTTATTGTGTTGTGTGCTTTGGGCATCCACTTTTGATACTGAGCCATCTCCATCTGCCGTGAGGTTGCCAGACATCTTGAAGGGGAAATGAAATAATTTAGCTCAGGGCTGTCCAAACTCGGTCCTGGAGGGCCTGTGTCCTGCAGAGTTTAGCTCCAACCCTAATTCAACACACCTGAACCAGCTAATCAAGCTCTTACTAGGCATAGAAACTTCCAGGTGTGTTGAGGCAAGTTGGAGCTAAACTCTGCAGGACACCGGCCCTCCAGGACCGAGTTTGGACAGCCCTGATTTAGCTGAATCAAATATCCATCCCAACACCAAGTGAACACAGAAATGTAAGTGTTTATGACCAGACCCTGCTGAAAAGGTCAACTCTACTGAGGTCAACTAGTCAAAGCTGTATAGTTCCACTGGCTTTGCCAAGGTGGTCTACCAGCTTTACCCAGCTTGACTTAGGTTACTCTGCTGGCTGTCCAAGCTGTGCAGCCGGTACCTATGTTTCAATCCTGCAGTTAAAAGCCATTTAGCTACCATCCGAAGCTGGTTTAGCTGGATTTTCCAGCAAGGTGATGCCCTATTTATGACAACACAACAAGGAAAAAAAATACAAAAAGGTTACATAATACATTTCACAGTTGTAATACATTTCTGAAATAAATCCCTGGATATTTTACGTCTGAGTAAGAATGTGTGTGCGTAAAAAGAGATTATGAAGGGTGAAAGGTTTATCAGAAGACTTAACCCAGCTGAAAAAGACGTAGCATTAAATGTATTAAAAATATACTTGAAATTCAAGTAGTATGTTTATAATACACTTGTATTCCCAACATGCTTATTTGAAGTGCAATAAAAATATATTGAATTGCATTTTAATATATTTCTAAAAAGTATACTAGAAGTACTTTTGTATTAAATATATGCTTAGTTATACTTCTAAGAAATATAAGTAACTAAGTAACGGAATTAGTTACTTTTTTAATGGAGTAACGCAATATTGTAATGCATTACTTTTAAAAGTAACTTTCCCCAACACTGATGGTATTAATATGGTACCATGAAGAATATGATTACCATCAATGCTTGGATTAGTGTCCAAAACATTGTAATACCAATGTGCATTTTAGAAAGTATGAACAACAAATTATTAATAACCAAGAGTGCATATCTGCCTATTTGCAATGAGTCAATCATTTAAGCACACCTTGTTTTTGAGTATTGACTCGTACTATCTTCGCCAACCACTCCTTTTAACACTTACATCTTGGACGAATGCAACACAAAAGTTTTTTTTTACCACGCCCATGAATACTTGTGTTTACAAACAGAAGGGAGGAGGAGGAGGAGGAGGCTCTTCTGACGCTTGTGTTCGGCCTCCAGACGCGGAACTTCAGCAGAGAAAGTGAACGCGACTCCCGTTAAAGGAGAACCGGAGGGGAATCTACAGCTTTCACCGGAGACGTCTTCCGTGCAGGACTTTAACTGAGATCGCCTGAAGTGTCAGAGTGAGTATATGATCAGACCCGATCACTTTAACTCCAGTGACAGAGACAGACAGCCACATCAGCTAGCGAGCATAGCCAGCGTCAGTCTCCCTTCAGATAACATTAGCTGGGCTGTCTGAAATGTACGTGACTGTTCGTACGTGCGTGATCATACTACAGTTGAAAGCTGCATAATTACAAATATCAATGCAGTCTATACACGTCTTACAATATATGACCATGTAACGTTAACAGTGGAAAGGAAGCAGTTAAGTCTGTGTAGCTCATGCTAATGCTTCAGCTGCCTCAGCTCATCCACATGCCTAGCATAAACTCTGGCTCATATTTTATAAACTCTGGATATTTTAAAGCTGTTTATATTGGCATAGGACACAGTTTGTGTTATTCTTGTGAAGCAGTGTCATATTTGTTTGCCAGGTTTTGTTTTTCTACATATTAACGCTTTTGTTGACAAACGCGTTTTATGTTCAGACCGTGTTGACATTTCTGTTATGGATATTGATGTCATCTCGTGGTGATACCATGTTATACTTTTTTTGTATTTACATCATGGTATTTTAGAGGTACTCTGCAGTAACTTTTATTTAGGAGAACTCATTCCCATAACCCTGTTGAAAAAACCAGCATATGCTGGTTAGGTATGTTTTGATACCTAAAACATTTTGCCAGCACATGACCAGCATAAACCAGCAAAAGGACCAGCATAAACCAGCAAAAAGGACCAGCTTAAACCAGCAAAGGACCAGCAAAAGGACCAGTTTAAACCAGCAAAAGGACCAGTTTAAACCAGCAAAAGGACCAGCTTAAACCAGCAAAGGACCCGCTTAAACCAGCATCCCAGCGTCAAAACATACCTAACCAGCATATGCTGTTTTTTTCAACAGGGAAGTTAACGATTTTAGGTGCACAATGTACGGTAAAACGAATTTAGACACTTTTACTGATAAACCTCATAAAGTAAAAAAAAACAGGCGCCAAACAACATAGCCCTGACTGACCATGGCAACATTTTATAATAACTTTGAATTTATAATAACTATAATAAGTAGTCATTAACAAGCATTATGTGATGCTGAACAGATCAGTTGTTCAAAAACATTGAAATACACTCACCGGCCACTTTATTTGCTATACCTTGCTAGTACTGGGTTGGACTTGCTTTTGCTTTCAGAGCTGCCTTGATTCTTCATGGCATGAATTCAACTCAATTCAATTCAATTCAAGGTGCTGGGAACATTTCGCAGAGAATTTGGTCCATATTGACATGATATCATCACACTGTTGCGGCAGATTTGTTGGCTGCACATCCATGATGTGAATCTCCCGTTCCACCACATCCTAAAAGGTGCTCTATTGGATTGGGATCTGGAGGCCATTTGAGTATTGTGAACTCACTGTCATGTTCAAGAAACCAGTTTCAGCGTTATCCTGCATGGAAGTAGCTGTCACAAGATGATACAAGACTTTCATGTTGTTTATGCCAAATTCTGACCATACCATCTGAAATTCGCAGCAGAAAAAAAGACTTCTCAGACCAAGCAAGCTTTTTCCAATCTTCTATCGTCCAGTTTTGGTGAGTCTGGGCAAAGCCTCAGTTTCATGTTTTTAGCTGATGGTGTGCTCTTCTGCTGCTGTAGCCCATCTGCTTCAACGCTATTTGTGTTCATTTGAGTTACTGTTGCCTTTCTATCAGCTCAAACCAGTCTGGCCATTCTCCTCTGACCTCTGGCATCAACAAGGCATTTTTTTACCCATAGAAATTAGGGCTGTCAAAATTGTTTCCAAATATTCGTCGAATTTAAAATAAAAATCCACATTCGAATGCAAAAACGTTGCATTCGAATTTTAGGTGTGCATTAAGGAGGCAGCCTTATCAGTGGCGCACGAGATGCGATGACGATGTAAGTGTCAAATGTTGCATTTTAATATTTTTGTTAGCCTATCCAGTTGAAGCCAGTAGATGCGGCGCTGCTGCATTGTTAATTACAAATATTGCGGGAAAAGAGAACATCAATGCGGAGAAGATCTTGTTTACGTCAAAACTGAAACCAAGCCGTAAACAGTAAACGCACATGCACATTCAAGTAAACAAACAGACAATACCTACTTTCCAACATCTGACATATTAGGCGTTACCATGTCTCCCATTTGGTTTTGTACAAATAAATGATCCGCCTGCTTCCTTTTATGTCTCTGATTGTCATCAGAGTAGTGAAATGTTTTGTGCTGGAGGAGATGTTCTGTGAGCTCAGATAACTGCAGTCCATACCTTGAGGATATTTAGCCAGGTGTATCCAAAGCTTAGTTTTATTTCACCTCGTTTGATGATAATATGCAAATATGATTGCTACAGATAGAGACAGTGTGTTTTGGTGATATTTCTTGGTGCATAAAGAAGATCTGTAAAGTTGCAAAGACTAAAGTCTCAAATCCAAAGAGATATTCTTTATAAAAGTTTGTTTTTTAATTGTTGATCTGATCTGATCATTGGCTATAGCTTACTTGAAACTGCTGTTGCTTAAAAGCTACTTAGTTGTTATTGGAACTTACTGCTTACCAGGATTTTATGTTTATCATTCATAACATTCTCGTTATTAAGGCTAAGCTGTTTATTTCTAAGTTTATTTCAAGTTTATTTCAAGAATCTGTTTATTATTGGAAACATACTTGTTGCCAGTCGTTTTAGTTATTGCCAATATGCAAGGCTTATCTGGTGTGAAACATATCATTGTTATCATTCCCAGTTTGACTTTGATGGAGTGTGGTGGAGTCATGTTCATGGATGAGGAAGCGCATTGCGCTCCATAGTTTATTCACTGCGAACCGATAACTGAAGGTAACAGGACACAATGCCATTGACAGACGATGCATGACATCAAGACTTAGATATACAAAGACAATGTACTCATATTGCCATGAATGGGAAACAGTGTAGCCAACTAATTTCAGTGAAAAGTAGCTAAAGCCTGTTCAAGTTGTTAAATATCGCTAGATGATAGGGCTGTCAAAATGGCTGAAAATCTAAATTCGAATTTTGTTCTTAAATATTATCAGTGTTCGAATTATATTCGAATTTAAAAGGCATAATTTCAGTTAGGGGGAAAAAAAGCTTTTGGCTTCTCTCCTGAGGCCACAAGAGGGCGCATCGAGCAAAATAGTACTAATGCACGTTTCTTCAAAGCAATAAAATAACACGACTATCTTTGAAAAAAAGTGCATAATGTTTAAATTAATGTTTATAAACCATATATAATTAAGTTGCTTAAACAATTAGAAACAAAACAGCTTCATGTATGTATGTATAGTTTAATACAAAGGACCGAAAACCAATCACAAAGAGTACTTTCTTCATTTAAAAACATGAGATGCAGTGGGATGGAAAAAAAAACGCCATAAAGTTTCGAGACGTTTTTTTTTTAAAGTTGAACTTAACGTTAATTTTACATGGCTTTCTAAACATGCGGCTCTCTTTGCGAGACACGAGTGCAACGGTGATAGATGTCCCTCTAGAAAATGCGATAAATATGGTTCTGTGTGAACGGCTTGGTTTCGGTTTTGACATAAACAACATTCTCTGCAATTATGTTCTTTTTTTCCGCAATCTTTTAAATGAACAACATAGCAGCGCCGCATCCAGTGGGTTCAACTGGATAGGCTAAGAAAAGCATTAAAATGCAATGACACCTACATTGTCATCGCATCCCGTGTGCCACTGATAAGGCTGCCTGACGCACACCTAAAATTCGAATGCAAGTTTTTTTGCGTTCGAATGTGGATTTTTATTTTAAATTCGACGAATATTCGAAATTCGAATTTTTTTTGACAGCCCTACTAGATGACGTCATACGCATTTAGCATATTCATTACGTCATTACGTGCATTGCATTCTGCCTAGTGTCTGCCCTTTATATTATTTGCTTCTCTGCTACTCTCTGTGCTCACCAAGCGGCAACCTTCCTCTTCTCTCTCGTGAAACCAACACGGAAGTGACTAAAACTGAAATTCATCGACTGGCCGCTAGAGGCTGGCTCCAAAAGGGAGTCAGTCCCATAGACTCCCCATGTTAAAATGCCCAACTTTACAGCAGAAAAAATATGTTTACAGCCTGGTACAAAAAGTGGTTTTGGTCTATATAGCTCATGTTGCCCTTCATGACAACTGTGAGGGGTGTTAATTTTTGTATAACTCATCCGTTTAAATTATATTAAGCCTTAAAGTTCTGCATAATTAAGGGCGTGACCACTTGAGTGACAGGTGTATTGCCGCTGCTGTCACCACTGTTATCCGGATTATCCGGGAGTGACGTGTGGTGACGCGCTGCCAAGATGGCGACGGCCGGCTCCACCCACTTTGAGCTTCAAAAACGCTCTTCAGAAACCTACGGGTGACGTCACGGACACTACGTCCATGTTTTTATACAGTCTATGGTGCTCACACAATGTATTTTAATACAGCCAAATTGCAATAAAACTATTCATATATTCGGTTTGTTATTAGACAGTTTGAAATAGTGACTGAAATGTGGCCATTAAGACTACATGTTAAACCAGCAGCCTCTTCCTGTTAAATCCGGATTTATAATCAAGATGTTGTGTGACAAAATCACCATATACATAAGACATTGCTGTGATTTTGGATATATATTCACATAAATGATCACTCAGGTTTGTCCAAGAAGTCACTAGAATGTTGCTAGGCACTTGGAAAAATCGCTAAAGGGGTCTGAAGTTGCTAAATCTAGCAACAAAGTCCAGAAGTTGGAAACACTGATGGGAGTAGGTGCAGCACACAGAGTGACCGATAGGACACCTTCGGAGTTGATGAGCCAGTCGCTGATGGATAAAGTTGCTTCGGCTGCCGTTGGAGGCTCCGGTTGCTGTGGAGGCAGTCGGTGCTCTGAGACGCGCGTTTGATGACACGGACATTTCACTGCCTACATGTGACTTAATTCCAACTGCAGCTATCTAACCTTTATTCATTCTTCACACCATTTTTCTCTAGAGCCACAGGTTGGATAAAACTGACAGGTTGTAGTAATTATTCTTAAATCGCTCATTTAACGATAGTGTTATTATGCTATCATGCTAGCGCATCATCATCTTCAGTCTCTCAATGCCTAAATTAAGGAGACAATGTTTGGTTGGCTTCAAGCAGCCAACTGTGTTACTTCATTTTGTTAGGGGCATAATAACTCAAGCATTATTTCTCCCTCTCATGGAGTTATTCAACGTTATGTCCAATATACATCAGTTTTCAAGTTTTATCCTCACCAGTTGCCTTACCAGAGAACAGCATTCCTGATTACAATTGAAACATGCTATCTCCAGCAGCTGAGACGAGAGTATCCACTAAAGCTTGAACGCAGAGGCTGGAAAGTTCGGACAGAGAAGACCAATCCATGAGAGTGGGAGGTACACAGACCAATGTTCCACTGATGGTTCGAAGACAGCTGATTGAGACAGTGCAACAGTATATCAGTCTCGTGAGCATAGTGGCCTCTGATGGATAGACATAGGCTGAATCAACAGCCGAATGGGGAAGATGAATAAAGACATGGAGACAGGCTTTCCAAGAAAACCTGGACGACATTGGTGTCGTCCAATGGAAAGATGTCGATAATGTGGCCATGGATCGAATACTTTGGAAGACTCTTGTTTCCCATTGTGCACATGCAGGCACGTGACCTGACGATAATAAAGGTGAAATCTCCGCAGAGTAAGAAGCTACTCTTTTTAAATATCAAGACACGCCTCCTAACTATTCATGGAGTGCACTCCCTAATTGATCTTAGAATTAAACTTACTAGGTCTTTGTGTTTGGGGGGTTCAAACCTCAGTGAGGTTTGCTTGTGGACTGTTCAGAATCTGAACCCTTCAGAGCGAAGCCTGCCGCAAAAAATAATGTTGAGGACATCTACAATGTATTTATTTGAACAGAAAAAACAGTAATATTGTGAAATATTATTGCAATTTAAAATAATGGTTTTCTATTTTAATATACCGTTTTGACCCGAATATAACAAATTTTGTAATTGCTTGGTGGAGTATATTCCAATTCACTAGTGCTTTATGAATAGTTACCTTTCCAGAGCCACCCCTTCCATGGCTTTTTCATTGTATTTTTGTTAAGGGAAAAAGTTTATTTTTTAGCTAAAAAATAAATAATTGCTAGTTGCTAATATTTAAATCTAAACAGGGCTTCTTGATTATCTTTTTTTCTTTTTTTTTTTTTTAAGCTAAAAAAGTTTACTTAAATGTGTTGTGGATACTTTTTTTTCTAAATATTGTAGCTTTTCTACTAATCAAATCTTTTTAAATTTTTTCAAAATCCATCAATTTTTGGATGGATACTTTGTCAACTTTTTACTGTACTCATACTCTTGTAGATCCCATTTGTATGCAAATGTTTTCCACATTTACTCATCTAACTCAACTATACAGTCTGAATTGTTGGCACCCTTGGTTAATATTATGAACAAAGGCTGTGAAAATTAAATCTGCATTGTTAATCCATTTGATCATTTATTTTAAAAATGTACAGAAATCTAACCTTTCATTAAAGAATAAGAATTTAAAATGGGGGGCATCTAATTATGAAATGTTTTTTTCTAATACACGTTGGCCACAATTAATGGAACCCATTTATTCAGTACGTTTTGCAACCTTCTTTTGCCAAGATAACCACTCTGCGTCTTCACCTATAATGCCTGATGAGTTTGGAGAACATCTGACAAGAGATCACAGACCATTCCTTCATTCAGAATCACTCCAGATCCTTTAGATTCCCAGGTACATGTTGGTGCTTCTCCTCTTCGGTTCACATGAGAGCATTTTCTTTTCTTGAAACCCTCCCAAACAACATGTCGTGATGTAGGTGTTGTTTGACATTTTATTTAGGCTTTCTGACCCCAAGACTCTACTAATCTCTGCGATTCTCCAGCTGTGATCCTTGGAGAGTCTTTGGCCACTTAAACTCTCCTCCTCAGCGTGCATTAGGACACACGTCCTCTTCCAGGAAGATCTGTAACATCTTTAGTTGATTGGAAATTCTTAATTCTTGCCCTGATGGTGGAAATGGGAATGCTCTAGCTCTTTTCTTAAAGCCACTTTCTCATTTGTGAAGCTCAATTATCTGTTGCTGCACATCAGAACTATATTCTTTGGTTTTACTCCTTGTGATGGATGATTAAGGGACTTTGGCCTTTGTGTTCCTTCGTCTTTATATTCATGTGCAACAGGAAGTCATGGCTGGACGTCACCCTGGTGTGCTAAAAAAAAATGTAAATATAAATGGGAATATGCTTCAGAGATATTTTACTCCTAAGAATTTCTAAGGGTATCAATAATTGTGGCTATTGTGTATTAGAGAAAAATTATTTATTTTACAATGTGAACCCCCCCCCTTAATTTTTTAACTTCAATTTATTTTTATTTATTTTTTATTTTTTGCGAAAGATTAAATGGATAAACAATGCAGATTTATTTTCACGGCCTTTTTTGATCATATTTACCAAGGGTACCAGCAAATCTGACCATTACTAACTCAATTTCTCAATATAAAATTAAAGAACAGCTGAGATATGGTTCATCTCTTCTTTTTTTTTTTTTTTTTTTTTAAAAGCCTTGAGTTTACTGTATGTTACAGTTATGAACTGTGATTTGTTACTTGCTAGTCTGTGGCAGGTGGTATCAGGACATTTGCATTCCAGATTGACAACTTTTTGCATATGTCCCTTCAGACAGAATGAGTCGTCAGTATTTTTTCGCCATTTCCCCAGATGATAAAATTGTACATTTTAAATATTACATCTCCTAAAAGTTTATTTTGTCACTTTTAGGAGTACGCTCTCTTACAGATGACCTCAAAACTAAAAGACGTGGACTTAAAGCCACAAAGTCCCATTTCATTTCATAACTCTCTTAGGTCTATTATTAAAAATGCGTCTTGTTCGTGTGCTGCTGGATAATTAGTTTTTCGGGAGTGCAGGCTCAGGGCCGTGGGAGATGTAGGGCTAATCCATGCAGTGTTGGGGAAAGATCCAGAGCCCACATTTACAGTTTTAATTTCAGACAGAATCAAATTATATCACACCATTTGAGACTGGCCCAAATCTCTAATGAAAGAGAGGTGGAATGGGCCTGTTTGACTTTGGATGGATGAATTTCCTTTTATTTGATAGTTTATAACGTTAGTTCACTGCCCTGCTTAAATATTTGAAATGGTGTCATTTGTGTCACTCCAGGAGATATTCGCATAGAGATGTAATTCTCATTCCGAATTAAAAGTATTATTTGCATAGTAATCACTCTTTCTTTCTGTCTTCTTGCAGTATGTACCGCTTGCGGGCTCTGACGGCTGCCACCGTCGGGATGGTGCAGTTGTCAAGACGGCATCATGCCGGTGCCTTCCATTCCTATCAGCGGCGTAGAGTGATGCTGGCTGCCCTGGCGGGGGTGACGGGCATCTCAGCCAGCGCTGGACTACTGTGGACAAGGTACGGATCGCTGTAGACGCCTGTCTCATACATAAAGTGTCTTACAAATAAAATACAGCATTGTAACGTATAATGTATAGTTACATCAGCTTTTATTGAGGCGCTTCAGTGTTGCTTTATTTTGTTTTTGTGATTAGAGTTGCATAAAACATTTTTTAGAAATCGGATTGCTTAATACCTCTGGCAGTAGCAGCACTAAATGGAATTAGAGAAATAATGAAACGGCAAAATAACAGGTTTTTACACACACACACATACACATGCATACATAAATATACAATATATATTTATGTATGCATGTGTGTGTGTGTGTGTGTGTGTGTGTGTGTGTGTGTGTGTGTGTGTAAATTAAGGGCAGTGTAACAAATACAACCATTTATCAGATTAATTCATTAATGAATGAATATCTATTTTTCATACTGTACATTATTATGTTGAGATGCCTAAATTTACTTTAAAAATACACCTTTTTTTCTACTGCGCTTAAGTTTTTATTTTTATTTTTAAATTTTTTTTAATCGCTTTATCAGTATAGGCCAGCATTTTTATATTGTTGCATGCATAGAAATAACACCATAAGATATTCTTTGTTTAGTAAGATTCACCTGCAGAGTTTTTGGGGAAGTCACCCTATGAATGGCTTGCATATAGCTGTGTCTGCATATTAAACTGGGATAGGAGAAAGTATTGTAATATGAAAAAATGACACATTTCACCTTTAACGTAAGTGTCCTTAGAGCCCATATCTGCAGAGATTCATCTGCAGTCTGGGCGAAGGCCAGTGCAGTGTGTGTGTGTATGAATAGAGGAGATGATATGTCAGCAATATAGAGAAAAGCATCTGGGACGTGATCTATAGAATGACGGAGTTATGGGACGAGGTGGCATTTCGGTTCTCAGTCTGTGCAGTCATTTTCTCTCATTATATTGAATTATTGAACAAACCTCATTTTATTGATCAAACACACATCCCATCAACACAACGACAGGCCTTTTTTCAATTACTGCTTTTTGTCCTGAAGATATTGACCTTCTAGCACTCTTCATTGACTTTTAGTATGAGGCACACCTCGAGAGATAAATACACATTGACAATGTTGGTTCTTATGTGTAATGATGAGTAAACTTACATTTTTTAAAAGAAATGTAAGAGACGTTTGCCTAAAGCAAAACTCACTACCACGTCAGGGTGTTGCTATGCAGTTGCTAAGGAGTTCAGAGTAGTTTTTTTAGCACATTGCTATGTGGTTACTAGTTGGACCAAGCCAAAACAGCATATCTAAATATGGTTTGTGTTGCTTTTTAGTGTAATCTATGGGGTTTTCGTTATATCGTCCACCAGATATTGTAGGTCTGATTGCTTAAAAAGAATTGTATAAGGAAACATTACAAAAATTGTACACAGTTTGGTAGATATTATAGATAAGCATATCAGAATGATTTCTGAAGGATCATGTGACAC